CTCGGTGTCCCTTTTTTTCATTCCTCAGTCCCAAATATAAATTTTTAATTTGCCTTGTTTTATAATGCTCCTCTATTTTCATAAAAAGTCCTCTTTTTATTTCCTAATATGTTTTTAGTTCTTTATTTCGCGTATTCGAATAGTTTGTTGTGTTTCTTTTCCTAACATCTGTAATCTTAGTTTATTTATAATTTCTAAAGAAATATTTATTATAAAGAAATATATATCGCCCGAGAAAAAAAAAGAGATACAAAAGAGATACCTACAAAAACATATGAGATCCTTCAAAAAACCTAAAGTGTAAAATAATTGTTGTGCGCATATCTGAAGTGAAATTTCTTACTTCCATCTGTCCGTCTGAGGACTCCATTCGGGTACCTCTATCCACGTGCCGAATTTGGTTCCATTCGACCCATAATTAAGAAAAATCCTGATGATTTTGCCCATTTATTGGCATCGATTCGAATCGTCGATGGCGTCATTCGGTAGCCCGTCCCCAATTATGCCGAAATCGACTCACATTTTTCTTCAATATCAAATCCTTAGTCCCACCCTGATAACGATGTAAATGAAACAAAAATGGCAAATCTTGCAACGCAGTTCTTACACTACAAGAAGTTGTGAGGTTTTATATGTAACACCAAGTCTAGTTACTATATTATCACAATTAACTATATTATTAATAAACAGAAGATGTTATCGTGGAGACTATAATAAAAAGAAGAAATAATTTATTGGGCAAGTCTACAGTAAGATTAGTCATGAGACATGACTAAAACATGACTACCCGTAGACACTCAGTGTTTCTGCCTTCCGGCTTCGTCAATACGGGAGGAATCAGCAACGATGAACTAGCGATTCTGAAAAAGAGAGAGAGAGAGAGAGAGAGATATGTGTAAAGACGCATCGACTGTAGAGTCTTTTAGCGTCACTTTATCCTGTTATTTACATATTTTTATATATGTCGATATCCTTTATATAATCCAACATAGCCTTGTTATTTTGGTAGGAAAGGGCTACCTCAGGGTTATCCACGATACCGTGTTGTCTTCGTTTTAACGCGTTCTTTGGGCATTCAAAGATAATGTGTTTGACAGATATTAGAAGATTACATGTTTCACAAATGGGCTGATTCTGTCCTTTAAGGAGGTGTTCATGGGTAAGTTTCGTGTGTCCTAAACGAATTCTAGTAAGCACAACAAAATCTCTTCTAGGTAAGTTAACTACATTATTTTCGAAATAGTCCCTTTTGATTTCATTAAGCTTATTATCATTCATGTCTAAGTCCCATTCTAGTTGGATTATATTATCGATCATATGTTTGCCACAATTCTTTAGATCTTGCACGGAGAAAACAAGGTTGGTTTTATGAGGGTTGGGAGTTTTTGCAGCCAAGTAGTCAGCTCTGTCATTGCCAGGAATTCCTATGTGGCTCGGAAGCCAAAGGAAAGTGACGCTGTATTGGTTGATATTGGCCTTCTGTAGAAGCATGTTGATTGCTATAACTAGTGGATGGTTGGAGTAGAAAGAGGAGATACTTGAAATGGAACTCAATGAATCGGTAGCCACGACCCATCTCTTATAGCTGGAGGTCAATATATGTTGAATGGCCTTAAATATTGCAAAAAGCTCTGCTGAGAATATTCCCGTTATGGGACTTAGTGAGAAACACATTTCTTTATCAAACGTATGAAAAGCCACTCCAGTGTGCCTATCAGTTTTCGAGCCATCGCCATCGGTGTAAACCAGTCGATGACTCTTATACTTCGAGTTGATGAGATCTTTGAATTGTGCTCTTATAGTGAGATGTGAGCATTCCTTGTTGTTGTGGACTTTGAGTGATAGGTCAAGTGAGAATGGGTGCAGACTCCATGGGGGAAACATACGGGCAATATTGAAAGGAGGAGGCAAATCGATTGACAGTCTTTCCTTTATATCTACATAACGGTGGTGTGATGCTGATTGATACTGTTTGTATCTATGTTTGATTTGGGGGTAAATAATTTTGAAGAATTTTTTGTGATTAGGGTGTTCCAGATTAACATGTAGACCAAACGCATATGCTAATAGGTGTCGTTCTCTAATATAATTTAGTGTGAGTTGTTCTGATTCACACATTAAGCTTGGTATGGGACTCATGTGAAAAGCGCCCAGTGATTTCTTGATTCCCATGTTATGTACCGCGTTCAGCTTATTTAAATAAGACCGCGGTGCAGACGCGTAAACTTGAGACCCGTAATTGATTTTGGATAAGACACAAGCATTGTACACCATCAAAAGAGAAACATGTTCTGACCCCCAGGTGGTGCCAGATAGAATTTTAATAATGTTAAGATTAGTTTGGCATTTAGAGATTAAGTTGCTGATATGGGTTTTGAAATTGAGAAGTGTGTCAAAGGTAATGCCAAGAAATCGTTGTTCATGCTGGGAGTTTATTCGTTCAGAGCCAATATATAGATTAACGGTCTTCGAGCAGTTTCTTTGGCGGTAGAAATGAACTGCAGCCGATTTGGAAGCAGAAAGGGATAACTTTTTCCCCGTACACCATTTTGTAAGTTTATTTAGTGAAATTCGTATGATGTTCTGAAGATCTCAGAAACTGCATGCCCAATTCGAACCTTATAGAATCTATCGCCCAAGAAACTATTTACGCATTTAAACATATTTCCCGTAATATCGAATTTTCTCAGGCTATACAGTATTGTAGCGCGATCGATATTATCGAAAGCTTTATCTATGTCAAGGAAAGCCGCTGTCAGATGTTTTCTAAATCTCATCGAGTCTTGAACATCTATCTCAAAGCCAATTAGATGATCAATTGCGGATCTGTCTTTTCTATATGCAAACTGGTCTGGTAGTAAATGACCATGTTTTTCTAAGTACCAGCTTAGGCGGAAATTTATTATTTTCTCAAGAATCTTACATAAATGTGGCGTAAGGCTGATGGGCCTGTAGGCATCTGGATTGGTGATGGTTTTACCCTGTTTATGAATGGGACAAAGGATTGATGTTTTCCATGCTGTGGGAATATATGATGCATCCCAGATTTTATTAAATAATTCAAGTATGCAGTTAAGTCCAGACGGCGGCAGGTTCTTAATCATACTTATTCTGATACCATCCAATCCAGGGGAGGTATCTTTGCTGCGGTGTAATGCATAAGTCAGTTCAGAGAGTGATAAAGGTAAACTGTACACCATATTCTTTGAGTTAGGTGTGCTTATATGAGTTGGCATATAGTGTCGGAAGGGAATGAAGTTATATAAGTTGTTATAATGGGTGGCAAACACCTGCGAGATATCCTTGGGGTCTATCACCCATTCATTATTAGACAATATGCCGGCTATATTCCTTGAGGGTCTGCCCTTTAAGCTGTTAATTTTGTTCCAGATAACTTTGCTAGGCGTGCAGTCATTTATAGAAGATGTAAACTCATTCCAACTGGATTTTTTGGCTTTTTTAATAGTAAGTTTTGATAGTGCTCTCATTTTCTTGTATTTAGTAAAGTTTTCAGGAGTTGGGTGATGTTTAAACCGATTGAGTGCAGGTTTGCGCATTTTAATACATTGCTTACAGTCCTCATTCCACCAGGGAACGGGATCTTTATTTATGTTACAGTTAAATTTTGGGATTGAGAGTTCTGCTGCTTTAAGTATAGCTGTTGTGATGCTAGAGGTTGCCTCGTCAATGCTTAGTTGTGAGATTCTAGGGGGTATAAATATGTTATTATACTTTAACCAGTCAGCCTTATTAGTGTTAAATTTGGGTTTTTCAGTACTGGCAGTTGACCAGTTGACAGGTGCAAGCATGGTAGGTATATGAGCGCTACCATAGGTGTCATCCAGTGTGCTCCAATGGAAAGAAGAAGCAAGCGAAGAACTGGCTAGTGTCAGGTGAAGATTAGAGAAGGACGCCGTGCTTGATGAAATGAATGTGTGAGATCCATCATTAAATAAATGTAAGTGAAGGTTTTCTATAATATCAGCAATTGCTGCACCTCTACGACTAGTTGAGTTAGAGCCCCAAAGAGAGTTATGAGCGTTCATGTCTCCAACAATTATGAATGGTGTAGGGAGCTGGTTTAGTAGGTTTGTAAACATATTATCAATTAGCGTAAAAGACGGGGGTATATAGAGACTGCACACAGTAATTTTTATGGGAAGATATGTCGAAACCGCGCATGCTTCCAGTGGTGACGTGATTTGAATAACAGTGTATGGTAGAGAATTATGTATCAAGAGGGCAACGCCACCCGATGCTCTAGCACAATCTATGCGGTCTTTCCTGATGATATCGAAAGCCTTTACGGAGAATTTATTAGATGGCTTAAGGTTAGTTTCTTGAAGGGACAGGATTTTTGGACGATAGAGTCCCAAGATAATCTTAATTTCTTCGAAGTGTGTATTAATCCCATTACAATTCCAGTGAATTATTGCATCGAAGATGATTCAGAAAGGGTATACATCTTCTCATAGTTTTTTGGGTTGGTTATATGTTTTATATTTAATTTCTTTGTAGTGGGTTTGGGATCATTTAATTTTTGGGTTCAGTAGTATTAGAATTGCTTTTTTGTTTGGGCGAGACTTTAGTTGATTTGGTGGAGCTTGTGTCTGAGGATTTTGATTTTGATGAGCAATTTGAATTGATTGAGGAGGAAGAATTTGATTTTTTGATAGTGTGAGCACCAGTGGAGGCTCGGGAAAGGGTAACTGGGGTATTTTTATGGGTAGAACCTGTGGAAGGGATAGGTAATGTTGGAGGGGGAGGGGTAATAAATTTATCATGTTTGATGGGGATTTGTTTTGATTTGGAGGATTGTTGGGACGGGGTTTCAATGGGGAGCCTGGGAGTGGGCGTTTGAGAAGGTTTTTTTTGTTGTGTAGTTGTTTTAATTGCTGACATGATTTCTGCATAGGATGGCCCATAATTTGAAGGGTTACTTTCTATTGCTTTTTTCGCGTCAAATTAGCTTAGTTTTTCAGTGACTTTAACTTTCTGTATTATGGTTTCTTTCTTATAGATGACGCAACTTTTATATCGCCGCAATTGACGCAATAAGGGGGCGGATTACAATCACTTTCGTGCTTGTCTTTTCCACAAGATGGGCATGTGGCTTCGTATTTACAGTATGTGTAAAGGTGTCCTATTCTTTGGCAGTTAAAACATCTTTTTGGGTTTGGTATAAATTGTCTTACTTTACAGCGACGATAGCCTACATAAAAATATTCTGGTAGAGTTAAACTGTGTAGAGTGATAATGTACGTGTTCGTAGGTACAAGTTCACCATTTACTTCCCGTTTGATTTGGGTTATGTCAATCAGATTTTGTTCTGAGCATTCATCAAGTATTTCTTGCTTATCTTTACAATATTGCAGGTCACTACAGGATATGACTCCTTTAATGTTATTTAGTGAAGGATGTGAGGTAACTCTGCACTCTAAATTGCCAATCTTATTAATTTCAAAAAGTTTGTTTGCATGCTGCGGATCGAGTAGTTCAATTAGTAAATCGCCGCTTCGCAATTTGCTAACATTTTTATACTTCGGAACTTTCTCTATAATATTTTTATGTATGACAAAAGGAGACATAGTACTAAAGCTATCAGTTTCCAAATTTGGACGTATCAGAAAAAAATTATCATGTTTTGTGATGTCATCAACCTCACTAGACGAGTCAGATGTGCTAGCTCTAAATCTTTTATAATTTCTTGAACTCTGATCACCAGTTTGAGAAAAAGGCGCACTGGCCTGGTTATCCACCAGTTTTGCCTTGGAAGGTAATTTAGAAAAATCTGAAATATTCATATTGATCCCACGAGCAGCTAGGGAAAAAAGAAGTCGATCCAATCAGAGCCCCGCTTGACCAGACAAGGCTAATTACTGCCAGATTTCGCCTGGTGTCTGACAGGAACCATTCGAGACTCATCAGCAGAGCCATTCATCCCCTGAGCACGGTATCTAACACCTTAGGATTGCTATAATGCTAACATATAGGACAATACAGGACATCACAAACGGACTAGGGTACCTCGGGGTCGTCAGATCCCGTACAATGTGACCTTTTGGCCTCAAAGTCCCCTGCGTTAAGTCCCCAAACTCCCCTGTCTCCAAATCCCTCCAAAGTCCCCTGCAAAGTCCCCTGAAGTCCTCTGCAAAGACCCTCTGCCCAAAGTCCCCTGCAAAGACCCTCCAAAGTCCCCTGCGTTACCACCGAAAAGCCGCTGCGGAGGCGTTCCAACACACCTGGCCCTTGGCCCATAGAAAACAATAAACAGAAGATGTTATCGTGGAGACTATAATAAAAAGAAGAAAGAATTTATTGGGCAAGTCTACAGTAAGATTAGTCATGAGACATGACTAAAACGGTTTTTCGGTGGTAACGCTTCAAATTGTAAGCTACTGCCTAACCAGGCTACAAATGGCGCCTTGTGCCTCGTTTGCTTCCCTTCTTCTTTTTTTCAAGATCGCTAGTTCATCGTTGCTGATTCCTCCCGTTTGACGAAGCCGGAAGGCAGAAACACTGAGTGTCTACGGGTAGTCATGTTTTAGTCATGTCTCATGCTAATCTTACTGTAGACTTGCCCAATAAATTCTTTCTTCTTTATATTATTAATATTATTAAAAAAAATTCTTCTATATTTTTTAATATTTCTTTCTTTAGCTATCTCCACTTCTCCTGTGTACTAGAATTTTACAAAGTTATAAGAGGCAAAAACAAAAATAACAGAAAATATTTAAAAACATATGATTTTTTTCCTTGTCATATCTACATAGCAATTTATCCATTCGGACTTAAGACATGCGTGACTTAAACAATTTCTTACTATAATTCAGCATTATAATTTAACAAAATTGTTCCCTACAGCTTAAGTCTAAGCAATCTACGCAGATACACACATACACGTATATTATATATGTCGAACAAAATGGACCAGCCACGGGACTTAATGTTACACAATTTTCTTGAAATGAAAATGAGATTTAACCAGATAAAGCAGGCGAAATAATAGGTGTAGTGCTACTGTTGGGCAGTTAAAAATCCACAAATGATTAATGTAGCGTTATGTATAGAGAGAGATTGCTTCTGAGAGCTCGTGCGCGCTTATGGTCAAAACGAGGAGGCGATTGCCGGGTGATACTACAAAGTTAAATACTTTAATTTTAAGTGTTGCTATTTTTTAAATACGATGGTCGTTTTTTTTTAGATTGTGTATATAGAAACATAGTAGGCACCTGTCCAGATATATCAAATGTCAAAATTAACTATTATCTTTAGTTAACCTAACGCCAAAGTTTTAGACCGCTTCGTTTAAAACTGTACCTAAACTGAAATTTTGAAGTTGTCAAGTCAGTCGAAAATGGAATTAAGCAATCAAAATTTTCGCGTAATATTTTTTTATAATTTTTGAAGTCAGTTTCAACAAGAATGCCTTGTCGAGTTGGTTTCTGTTTTCGGTAATGAAACACCACATCAGTTGGCAATTTCTTCTTGGTATGGAGAATTTAAACGTTGACGGAATAGTCTTAGCGACGATTTAAGAGCATGTTCACCAACAACGATAGGACCCAGGAAAATGTCGATGCTCTACCAATAAGATCGACAAGTCATATGTCGTAAAATTGAAGCATCGTTGGGCATTTCAAAGGACTCAATTCGATAAATTTTATATAAAGAATAATCTGCAAAAAAATAGTTTCTCGTTGGATACCGCATCGGTTGATGGAAGAACAGGAAGCAATTAGGGTCAATTGGTGTCCAAAAAACTATGCAACGGAACACAGGAAACTAGAAAATATAATACACAGTATTGTCAGTGGCGATGAATACTGGGTTTACTCTTATGAACCCGAAAATAAACGTCAATCGGCTGTTTGGATTTTTCGAGATGAACCAAAACCGACGAAAGTTATCCATTCTCAAAGTGTTTCCAAAAACATGGTGGTAATATTTGTTTTAAAAGCAGATCATGTAGCAACAGTTCCTCTGCAAAAATCAATGAACTGTTACTGCTGATTGGTGCATATTTATTTGATTACCGGAAGTAATTGCAGAGTTTTGAAAAACTAACTAAGAAATAATCCTCCACCAAGACAATGGAAGTTCACACACAGCCCGAAAAACGACATATATTTTTTGTTATAGGGGGTCGAATTTCATGATTTTTGAAGCAATATGTAAGTAAATTATTATTTGACCTTTTAGATTATTTCTAAGGGTGCCCGGTGGCGTAGAGGTACATGCTCTCGTCTACCAATCTGAAGGTAGTGGGTTCGAATCCCACACCCGGCATTTCATCAGCCGACTATTTGTATTAAAATAAAAATAGTTTGGGTACCTAGGTCGACTCAGCTTTAAATGAGTTCTTGGGATTCACAATCCTGAGGTAATAATAGGCGGTTGAAGCGTAGAGTGCTAGCCACATTACCTTCCTTGTATACCGAATGGCTCTAGTATGGCAAGCTGTACCTTGCTACTCCTAAGGCGTTAAACGCTATACACGGGATCTATTATTATTATAGATTATTTCTAAATATAAAATAAAAAGTTTCAATATTTATATTAAAACCAAAATATTGATATTTTGGAGAAATTTTGAAATATCCTGTAGAATCGTTCAACAAAATTAGGAATTTAAGGAGAATTATATTTCTCTATCAAGGTATATTTCTTTTTATTGTTGTTTTGGTTCATCTCAATAAATTGATTTTAATAATTGAAGTTATTCGCTTTTAAAGAAGATAGTAAAGATTTATAACAATTTTAGCATTTACAGTGTATGTATTTGGTTTTGGCTTCTCATCAACATACTGATGAAATAGTGTTTATTGATGTTGTAACGTTACTGTAATTGGAAAGTCATATTATTATCGTTTGTTGGCAGTTACTAAATTTTTATTTCTGTCAGTTGTAATTGTAATATTTCTTTTCGGGCAACTATCTAATAGGATAGGCCAAAATTGAACTTTTTAGACGACCATACCAATAGGTATGGTAGGCTGTTAGGATCGGCAAAAAAAAAGTTTTTTTAATTTCACTCAAAATGAGTTACTTCGGTCATAATTACCTAAATACAAAATATTTTCATGGTGTCTGTCTGTCTGTCTGTCTGTCCTTCTGTCCGTCTGTAACACGATAACTCAAAAACCGCTGAACCGATTTTAACCAAATTTGCCACAAAAATAATGTGGCACCCGAGAATCTGGCAATTAGTTTTTGGTGGGGGTGGGGGGTTGGTAAGGGGGTATGGGAGGGGGTTAAAAATTTTAAAAAATCGTAACTCCAAAATTACAGTAGCTAGCGAAACGCGGTTTTCAAATTAAGATTAGGAATAATATTTGCAACAAAATTTGTAATAACATCAAAATCAGTCAAAGTCGCAGTTTTCGAGATATTAACATATTTTAGTATGGGCGGCTATACGTGCCTCCCGGCGCCAATTTTTTTACTTATTCCGATTCGAAAGATTTCTAGGCGTGGATCGACATTTTGTCAAAAAAGTACATACAGGGTGCGAAAAAAAAAAATAAAAACCGAGTTTTTCACTTTCGGCATTTTTTTAATATAACATAACCTAAAAAGAGGGTCAGATTACATTTAAAATTCTTACATTAACGTATTCTGACCATACCAGGTGAGAAAAGTGGAAAAACGTAATAAATAAAAAATTCGATTTTTTTAAAAGGGTATATCCAGAAAACCGACAATCGAAATCTTTCAAATTAAATATCTCGAAAACTGTGCATTTTCGAAATGCACGTTTAAATGGGGCGAATATATAGAGCTCCACTAGCTCCATTCGTAGATGCCTCACTGGTCGTTTAGCTACTTACCGTTTCCAAGAGGAAATATCTTATTTGTATTTGCACCTTTATTTTTTTTTCTGTTTGTATAATTTAATGTAGCGACCAAACACCAAAATTTTCGAAGTGACTTCCATGTTTAATTGCAACGTTAAAACAACCTCCACACTATGCGGAAAACTCTTCTAAACAGGCCAAGGTTGCGTTTCATCCCCCAACTTTGTCCATTTCGGTTTATTTTCAATTGTTTTGACCCACTTCGGTTTGCCTCGACCTACTTTCAATTCTTAAAAGTGCCTGAAAACTACTCGTGAGAAGGGCGTAGAGGGATTTTTTTGGCGTTGCCCCGTTCAATTTTGTTTCGTTTTGAGCTATTTCCAAAACGTGGCGGTATCTGTACCCAAGGCAAAGGACTCTTTTTTTCATATATCTCAGTGAAATAAGTAAACCTAGAAATTTCTAAAATAGCTGTTATTACTAGGATATTTCGTTAATTACATTTCGTTTTATGTTGATTTATATATTCCACAAAATTAATATTTGAATACGCGCTAATAATATGTATAGTAGATTTTTAAAACAAAACTTTTCACTTAAACTGTAGGAATATAATTACAATATTTTCATGATTTAATTTTTTATTATAATGAATTAGTATATAAAATTGTAAAAATTGTATATGATATGTTTGTTTACGGTTAATTGATTAATATAAGAGTAGTATTGCTTGATGAGTAATACTGGTAATATTATCAATATGTCGAGCTGATTGGGAAAATTATTGATTAACCCGATGTCAACAAAAAAAAGCAATGTTCCTTTATTGTTCTAAGGAGAAATCCGTAAACGATACTTTTATTAGCACCCAGCATGGTTTGATATAAATCCATTCAACTAGTATTTACTATGCAGGGATTTAGACAATTAAAACTAGGAAAACAAAACCAAATTCGTAAACTAAACTTTGCTTCATACTACAGTATAAATCTTATTTTATCATAACC